CCAATACATAAATCAATTTGAACTTGAAAGGGTGGGGAGGGGGACAATTTATAATTGTAATTAAAATGTTTTAATACATATTACATATAATTTATTTATTTATTTATTTATTTATTTATTTATTTATTTATTTATTTATTTATTTATTTTTAATTTATTCAATTAATTACTCTACAACTGTAGTTATATGGAATTGTTATGTACATATTCATAATGCTTTGGCAATATGCAACTGCAACAAAACGTCATGCCAATAAAGCAATTTAAACTTGAATTTGAAAGAGAGAGAGAGAGAGAGAGAGAGAGAGAGAGAGAGAGGGAGAGAGGGCCTTCCCCTCCCCGTGCGTTCGCGCGTTTGGAGAGGCACCGGCCGGTTTTACACGCACGATCCTCGAATCCCCGAAAGACCCCAAACGCCCCCATTTCCACACAAACACGCGGGGAAAGTGAAGTGAAGGTGCAGAACAGATGTCTGGAGCGCATGCGCGTCCGACAAACACACACACACAGACACACACACATATGCTGGATCTCCTTCAGTTCCAGCAGACCTCAAAAAGCACAGTTTGCAAACACGACCACTGTGTGTGTGTGTGTTTAAGTGAGTAAGCATTACAACATCGCTCGATCCCACCCTCCGCCGACAGAGAGCGTAAAAGACACGACACAGAGCCGTCTGTTTTACAGCCACGAAGCTGAGAGTCCAGCACTGATGCTGCATTGGGCATCTCTGCGGTGCGTGTGGCATCTGGTGGCGATGCGGACCCTCAGATTCCCACCACACTGACATGACGTCATCTCTTTCAGGCTCGCAGCATGGGACTGAATGCGTGCATATGCTGCACTGGATATGGATATGATGAAAAATTAATATAGCTTCGCTCTCAAATGGTGTGGCTTTCGGTATATTTGATTTTCTCTTTGTGGTAACAGACTTTTGTCGTGGAAAAAATTGCCTATATTCCATGAGAGAAAAAAGAATCAACCTAATTTTAACCTCAATTAAAAGTAATATTTACGTAAATACAATGCAAAATCGTTTATATTAGGACAATGCATCAGACTTTCAGGTTTTGTGCAAACTTTAAGCAAAATTAGCACAATAAATAATATTAAAAAACAAGTTGACATGATTTATTAACCAATGATTGTGTGTGTATGTGTGTGTGTGTATATATATACATACATATATATATATATATATATATATATATATATATATATATATATATATATATATATATATATATATATATATATATATATATATATATATATATATATATATATATATATATATATATATATATATATATATATATATATATATATATATATATATATATATATATATATATATATATATATATATATATATATATATATATATATATATATATATATATATATATATATATATATATATATATATATATATATATATATATATATATATATATATATATATATATATATATATATATATATATATATAGAGATATACATATATATATATATATATATATATATATATATATATATATAGGTACATATATATATATATATATATATACATATATATATATAGACATATATATATATATATATAT